GATTAGCCGGGAGTGACCCGCTGCCAAGATGGCGACGGCCGGCTCCGCCCACTTTGAGCTTCAAAACCGCTCTTCAGAAACCTACGGGTGACGTCACGGACTACGTCCTAACTACGTCCATGTTTTTATACAGTCTATGGTTTCAACCAGGAGCGGCTCATATATATATATATCCAAAATATTCATCCAAAACATAGACCTCTATATAAACTGAATCAATAATAAATTGTAAATGTGTTCAGCATTCTGCAACAAATATTTTTCGGATTTTCTAGACTATTTTAAGTCGTAAAGTAAGCAGTATATATTAAAATCCCACGCATGGCTTTAGCAGGCATGTATGATACTAAGCGGGGCAGATGGTGCCTGAGACCTCCCGAGCTCAACAGCGCCCCACAATTTTGCAACGTAAATCTGTGGTGAAAAGGGGAACTGCAGCGTGCTCTAACTGAGAGCCATTGGGGCAGATTTTAGACTGCCCCACTTATTTTCACATTACCTTACGTGAACCTCGCTCCACCAAGACAATATCAATCCGCTTCAGCTATGTGTCTGCATCAGGTCAGTAACTAGTTGGCATGTCTGTTTTTTTTCTATGTGGAGTAGTGGATCAAATTTACAAAGACTATACGTTAAATCCTTTAGTTTAAATGTGCTCACATGAATAGCCTTTATATGGTTCTGTTGTGTTTCTTTTGTTTATTCTGAGAATAGACACATGATCTTCTTTCCTCACCCGAATTGCTCCACAACTTGTAACATCTAAATCAACATTTGGAGGTGATAAATACTAAGGCAATTATTATACAGCATTTTATGAGTGTAACATTACTTCGAGCCTGTCAATCAACAATAGCGCGCCACCCACAGGATAACGCAAGGACAAATTTTGTCCCCATGTGTTCAGAGATTAGAATATAAAGCTTACAAAATGTTTTTCATATATTAGCGCTACAACCCAGAATCTGCCCACCTAAATTTACGGCCAGGAGCCGCTACTGGTTTCAACTAGGGATGCACCGATACCGATACTGGTATCGGTATCGTGTAATAACTTCAGATTAGGGCTGCACAATTAATCGAATGTGATTGTCATGCACATCTTGTCAGTAAAGCCGGTTCTGTGATTAGTAGTATATCTCCAGCACGTGCTTTCAAATGGAGCAGCGTTTACTACACAGAGCCGTAGTTCACTGACAAGCTACGCAAAAACACGTTCATAATCGCAGATTATGGTTGATCTCTTCAGATCATAGAAGATCTTCGATTTCATAATTGCGCAGATTTAATCGCGCGATTATGAAATCAAAGAAATCGTTCTGCGATTATGAAACTGTTTGCGTAGCTTGTCAGTGAACTACGGCTCTGTGTAGTAAATGCTGCTCCATCTGAAAGCACATGAAAATACCACATTTAATAACATGTTTTTACTCCAAACTCACTTCATAACGTCAGTCGAGTGTTTGAAAT